AGAAGAAGAAGAAGAAGAAGAAGAAGAAGAAGAAGAAGAAGAAGAAGAAGAAGAAGAAGAAGAAAAGAAAAAAGAATAAGAAAACAAGGAAAAGGTTAAAAGCATAAAGGAAGCATTTGAAAAATCAATAACCAGGGTAGGTGTGGGTAGTACATGCCTTTCATCAACAAAGGCAGGTAGTCTCTGGGAGCTTGGTGTACATACCAGTTCCAGCACAGCTAGGGCTACATAGTGAGACTGTCTCAAAAACAAAAACAAAAAACCAAGAGAAATGCCAGGCTGCAGTGGCAGACGCCTTTAATCCTAGCACGTAGGAGGCAGAGGCAGGCAGATCTCTGTGAGTTCGAGGCCAGCCTGGTCTACTGAGCGAGTTCCCCGGGCAGGCTCAAAAGCTACACAGAGAAACCCTGTATTGAGAAAAAAAAAAGCCAAGAGAAAAGAAGAGCCAATACATGTTAGACCTGCTCAACTTACAAATTAAGAAGTTTTAAATTAATACCACAATACTATAATTAAATATTTTTAAGTCTGTCAAATGAGAAACAATACTCCCACATACAGCTATTACACAAATTATTTTGTGTAATCACATTGCAAAGCAGTCTAGCATTATCTAAGTTAAAGTTGAAAATAAACATTATCTGTCTCAAAATTCCATTTTTTTTTTGGTCATTTCAAATGCCATTTTACTGCTGGGACAGAGGTAGTTCTGGGAGGGGGCTGAGCTGGACTTAGTGGCTCACACCTGTAATCCTAGCTACTAACCAAACTGGGAAAGTAGAATCGTAAATTCAAGGCCACCAAGACTGCTTACAGAAATCCTGTCTCAAAATAAAAATAGTAGATAGACAGGCAGCTGGCTGTAGATAGCTGGGGGTGAGGCTCAGTGGTAGTAGTAGCATGCTTACTTAGCTTGAACAAGACCCTAGGTTTAGTCTCTGTCTCTCTCTCTCCCTTCCTTTCTCCCTTGCTTCCTCCTTCCCTCGCTCTCAGTCTACTAACCAAAAAACGTCATTGGCTGGTCAAGAATTGCATCACTTGACGCTTGTTAGAGATACCCTGTTCTGATCTGGTGAATAGGTTCCAAAACACCAGCACAAAGATAAGAACACAAACAGAAATGGTAACCGTATCTATTGAGATATGATGATAAAGGTAAGAAGTAACCTAGTTGTTTCCTGGAAATAAGAAAGAACTAAGGGAGACCTAAGAGAAGGTTACATAGTTATCAGTCAGGCATGACTTCATAGGAACAACTGTTGTCTCTCATTGTATAAGCGGGAGCATGTGGATGTGGGATTAAGTCTATTCAGTGTGCCTATAAAAAGTTTAATCCAAAAAGTTTTAAAAAATTAAGTTCTTTTGATTATTGCAGAGGTTTTTTTTGTTGTTGTTTTTGTTTTGTGGGGAGGGTGATTATGTTGAGACAGGATTTCTTTGTGTAACAGTCCTAGCTGTCCTGGAACTCACTCTGGAGAACAGGCTGGCCTCATAATCACAACGATCCACCTACCTCTGCCTCCCAAGCGCTGGGATTAAAGGCATGCGCCAGCACATCCTGCTATTGCCGAATTTCTGATAAAGGCAGTGATTTATACTTACCGCCCACGGTAGCTGTATGTGTTACACTGACTGGTAAAATGGTGTGTCCGTGTGCAGTTAAACAAGTTGTGAAAAGCCTGGAGTTGTTGTTTCGCAACCACTGATTTTCCAGTGCCAAGGAAGCATTGCCTCTGCTTCTTCCCGTTTTATTCCCTCTAATCCCTTAGACATTGGTATGGATTTTTAAGGAACAAGAACAGCTGGATGTCACTGACAATTATACAGTAAATGTATACATTTCTATATACACCACCTATGGGAGAAAGCTTTGCTTCCCTCTCATTGTCTCTTGCGCTGTTTGATTTTTGAAGAATGGATCTCACCATGTAGTTGAGGCTGACTGGCCTTTGATTCACAGTACCATAGCTCTTCCTTGCCGCCCCAGGCGCACCCTCCTGGTGCTGGGTTTCTGATGTTCCCTTTACGGTTCCACTTATGCTCAATTTGACATTTCTTCAAAGGTTATAGATTTGCGACCCATTTCTCATGCTAGGCTGCTGCCTCTGACCACCACACTCTCTAACACTGAAAGACGATGTGACGGCACGTTTGTTTTAGACGTGAGAAGCCAATTTGACAACCTCAAGGACACCTCACAGGAGGAAGAGATGCTAGTCATGAAGAAGTGTTCCTGTGGGGACTTAGGAAAAGGTCATCTTTCCGAACCTTGCTACAAAATATAGGAATGTCCTATTTTTCTTCCTTCAGTGTGGTTACAACACAACACCAGGAAGGACATTTTGCTACTGACTCCTCAGGTCTTCACTCACTCAGGTCCTGGAACTCACTCTGTAGAACAGGCTGCCCTCATACTCACAAAGATCCGTCTACCTCTGTCTCCCAAGTGCTGGGATTAAAAGCGTGCGTCAGCACATCCTGCTATTGCAGAATTTCTGATAAAGGCGATGTTTTATACTTACCGCCCATGGTAGCTGTATGTGTTACACTAACTGGTAAAATGGTGTATCCGTGTGCAGTTAAACAAGTTGTGAAAAGTCTGGGATTGTTGTTTCGCAACCACTGATTTTCCAATGTTGAGTGAGTGCCCTTTCTTGTGTGCCTTTAATTTTTTTTTTTAAAAAAAGAAATTATTTATGTATGTGTGTGTGCACACCTGGGTATGTCTGGGTCGAGCACCTGCACCAGGTGCTTGGAGATGGCCAGAAGAGGGCATCGGATCGCCTGGAACTGGAGTTGTAGGCTGCTGTGAGCCACCTGATGTGGGTGCTAGAGACTAAACCCGGGTTCTCTCCAAGAGCCATCTCTGCAGCCCCTAAACGTGATTTCTCTCTATTATCTGAACTAAAAAGGTGATTGTTGGTGCGTGTGTACTTTCACAGCAGCACCTGGCCGTTTGATCTTCCCTCCCCCGCCCCCCTCGCTAATGCTCCTCCGTAGAGCCTTGGGGCTGCCCCCGGCCCAGCCCCGCGCCCTGGTTGGCTGCTGGGTGGGAGGCTCGTTTCTTCGCTCCTATTGGCCGCTCAGGGGGGTGCGTCTCGCGTGTCGGGATTGGTCTCTTAGAGGAGGCGTCTCTCCCAGCTGGGCGGCTGGTGGCTATTTCCGGAGTAAGATGGCTGCAACGCGTGTGCTGGGGACCTGGAGCCGGAACGCTGTCAGACTGGTAAGCAGGATTGAGTGAGGGTGAGGTTAAAAAGAAGTGATTTAGCCATGATTTGTCACCTGAAGTGGTGCGTTGCTTTCTTCTTCGAGTGCCATGCGTCCTGTGAGTCAGTGATGGAAAGATGCATGCAAACAGAAGGGCAGCAAAGGTGGTGCGCCAGCGAGACTGGAAACAAACTCTCAGCTCTTACCTGGGCGCGTTCCTGTGGCGATTAGCGTTCCCCCCAGCGGTACCCACATCCCTGCCTTTCACCTGCTTAGTTTTGCTTGAGCATCTTGATGCCAGGCATTGTCACAGGCGCTGCAGACACAGAGCTACAATCTTTCGGGATTTATTGTGTACCCACCCCATGCCAGGCGCAGGCACTGTAAACCTGACCTCAGGCAATTTTCAGTGGGGAGGAAGAGAAGGGAAAAGGAAAACTTTGCCCTCTAGCTTGAGATTCACTTGGAGTTCTACTTCTCTCCCAGGTCCATATTACATGCTGTTCCAACTTTTTATTAATTTACCACCTCCGTTTGCCTTCAGTTCTCCCTCACGCACAAGCTTTTAGTAGTAACGGTGGATGTAACCCATTAACTATCCTGTTTCTTCCTAATTATATAACTTACTGGATGTCGACCTTTCCCATTTCCCTAGATGTTCCTGTAGTGATAGCCTCCTGATACCACAAACACTTCTCCCAGCCTGCCGTGTGTCCTGGGCACTGGGGATATAAATATAACACAGACACCATCCCTTTCCTCCTGAGATTGTAATCTAGTGGAGGAGAAGAGGAGAGAGGGGGGCTGGGAAAGACAGAAAGCCATGGCTTTAGAATACATCAGGGAAGTGCTATTATGGAACAAGTGCCCAGAGCTACTGTGGCTTTGGGTGACACCTGTGGGGGAGTGGGGCTCAGAGACGAACTCCTGGAGGGCAGTGAGTGAGGACAGTGTGAAGGGGGAGAAGGAGGTAGCCAGCGGACGAGGGCCCTAGTCACAGCACCTTACTAGACATTCTTGGCGGCGCTTCTTTTGAGAGCTCTCCATCCTTGGCTTCTCAGATACCAGCTTGCCAGTATTATTCTTCCCACATCTTTTGCTGCTTGGTTCCACTGTTCTCTTTCTCCAGCTTCTAAATACTGCTTTAAATACAGTCGTGTACTGCACAAAGACATTTCAGTCAACAGTGGCCCCATAAGATTATGGCAGATCTGAACACTTCCTATGACCTTTCCCATGTTTTGATGTGTGTAAATATGCAGACACAATGGTGTTACAGTTGCCTGCAATGTTTAGTACAGCAACATGCTATACAGGTTTGTAGCATAAGAACTGGCAGATAGCTTAGGTGGGTAATAAGCTAAGCCACTTGGTTTGTGTAAGCAGAAGGTGCCCATGTAGACTAAATCACCAAATGATAGAGTTCTCACAGTGGTGTGTGACTGCTTCCTTTCTAAATGCGCTGGCTTTGGCCCTCTGCACTTTTCCTGCTTCCTGCATCGTCTCTCCCACTGCTTTGGAGATATTTGCTAGCTGTGCTAATGGTTTCCTGATGTTCCCTCGTCTTTCAAATGAGTCTACGAAAGGCTCACAAATTCTGCTGTCCAAGAGATTTCCAATTGCACAATATGAGGTGTTTTTCAATCACAAGTAATACAAATCCACTGGATGAACAGGGCATCATCTATGCATACAAATGACAGGTGACATACGTGACTGTCATTATCAGGGTTGATGTTTCATCAGTTCATTTTGACCTTTCCCATCTGTCCGTAAGAAGCTGCAACAGCTCCCTCGGTGGTTGAGGCTGGAAGGAGGAAGGAATCCCACAGGCTGATTTAACCAGCTAGAACACTGTTCCAAGACTACTGCTAGCACCAGGGAGCCTGGCAAGCTGGCCTTCAGCCACCTCACAGTGTGCCACAGTGCCTCAGGGATGCAGCCTCCGGGCTCCGGATTAGAACCCTCAAACCTGTTTCTCTTGATTCTAACTCTGAAGCAGTCTAGCCACTCTTCACTGCCTCATTCTTCATCGCAGGTGTCTTGGTCTTTCCTAACTGCCCTCTTGCCTCTGATCTGCCCCTTTTGTGATTCATTTCCCATAGGCTGACCATGATGACCTTATAAAGTAAGGTACACATTACATCATGCCATGTTCTTGCTTTAAAAAAAACTCTTTTGTAAAAATGCCCATAAGCCACATGACCTAGGAAATTTATGATCTGGCTTCTCCAACCTCTCAAGCTTCATTCTTTATTAAAAACCTGTTCATTCTACACTTTATTCCCCTCTTATCCACTCCCCTTTGATTTCTCTTTCCACATCCTTAATTGTTCTTCTTCTACTTTCATACCCCCCAGTTTGTTTTGTTTTGGTTTTTGAAGACAGGGTTTCTCTGACCTCCTAGAACTCAGTAGACCACGCTGACATTGAACTCAGACATCTGTCTGCCTCTGCCTTCCAAGTGCCACCCCTGCCCAGCTTCTGAGACATTCTGTATCTGCCTTTGTGAAGAGAGTCTGTGTCACTTAACATGATGATTTCATGATGATTTCTAAATCATCTAAATCATCATTTCTTTTTTTATTTTCTTTTTTTTTGGGGGGGGGAGTTTCAAGACAGGGTTTCTTTGGAGCCTTTTGGAGCCTGTCCTGGAACTTGCTCTATAGACCAGGCTGGCCTTGAACTCACTGATATCCTCCTACCTCTGCTTCCCGAATCCTGGGATCAAAGGCATGCACCACTACTGCCCAGCCCATTTTCTTGAAAATGATTTTTTTCATTCTACCATTTTTTTTTCTGAACATCAATGAAATAAGATTAGAGTAAAAGTAACTAACACTTTTTACGCACAAACACACATTGCTCATTCCAGCCCCAACTCTGACCGTGGCCACCTTGGGGAAGGTTTAACTTGGGTTTTGCACAGCAAGTATGAATAAGAAAGAGCAGAAGGACACTTCTAAGGCACAGGAAGTAAACACAGAAAGGGCAGCAAGAATTTGCTTAGCAGGGCTGCAGGAGCAGCTTGATGTGGCTTGATCACACTAAACTTCACGAGAATTCTGTGAAACACACTGTGCTCTCCTGATTCCAGACCTTTGCTCTTATATTTCCTCTGCCTTGAAGACTCTTGCCTCATCTGCAACACTTCTCTTCTCGTGGGTTACTCCTACTCAGTCTGCAGTCTTACTTCAGGCTAACTCTCTCCAGAGGCTCCCTTAGCACACCCTGCTGGAGCCGTGTTAACGGCCTGTGCGCTCCACTTGATCTTTCATTCTCCCAGTGTCTTAGTTAGGATTCCTATCGCTGTGAGGAGACACCATGACCACGGCTGCTCTTATACAGGAAACACTAATTGAGCAGGCTCGCTTACAATTCAGTCCATTTTCCTCAAGATGGGGAACATGGTGGCATGTAGGCAGATGTGGTGCTGCAGGGACAGCTGAGTCTTACATCTTGCAGGCACAGGAAATGGACTGACTCCCTGGGCAGTATCCTGACCATAGGACACCTCAAGCCCACCCCCACAGTGACACACTTCCTCCAGCAAGGCCATTCCCGCTCCAACAGAGCCACACAGCAACTGAAGCTCCCATTTCAGTCCCTATGAGATAATGGGGGCCAGTTACATTCAAACTCCACGACTAGGCATTGCATGTGGCAGGAATTGCGTGCGTTTCCTTCTCTGCGCAATCCTAGTACTCCGCACACTCTGAGAGCACAGACATATTTATCGAATGACTCAGTAAAAGAAGTTTTTGTTTTGTTTGTTTTTCAAAGCAGAGTTTCTCTGTGTAACAGCCCTGGCTGTCCTGGAACTCTATCTGTAGACCAGGCTGGCCTTGAACTCACAGAGACTCACCTGCCTCTGTCTCTGGAGCACCGAGATTTAAGGTGTGCGCCACCACTCTCAGTGCTTGTCTTTTGCTTTTTTATCTTATACAAACATTTTTAAAGGAGGAGGGCTTAGTACCTGTGATAAATTAATCATACATATGCAAGGAGTTTTGTATCTGATTTCCTGCTTTGCTAGGAGTCCTACATTTGCTTCCTAGTTTAGTCAACTATACTCTATGGAATTTAAAATTATTTATGTGTTGTGTCTGTGGCGGAGAACACAAGCATCATGATGTCCGTGTGGAAATCAGAGGGCAGCTTGCAGGAGTTGGGTTTCTCATTCTACTATTTGGGTCCTGGGGATGGAAATCAAGTCCTCAGGGTTGGGCGCAGGAGCCTTTACTCACTGAGCCAATCACTGCCCCGGTGGTTCATGGTTTCAGTGGTTTTTGTCTTACTGGCCAAAATACTAAGTATTTTGAACTATTTGTTTTACGTCTTTATTATATTAATCAGCTAAAATTTTTGGCTTCCCTTCTTTTTTTCTAGTTGTAGACATTAAATTATTGATACAATGAATCACTAGGTATAAATTGGAATTACCTCAGGCCTGTTAGGCCAGATAATCTCAGTGGAATTGTGTCTTTTAGGTATTGTTCATGACTCAGTAAAAGAAGTTTTTCTTTGCTTTTTTGTCTTCTGCAAAAGTTTGTAAGGGAGGAGAGCTTAGCACCTGTGTTGAATTATTCCCAGGCATGCGGTCTTGCTGTGTCCTGTTCCTACTTCTCTAGGAATCATACATTGATGCCTCAAACAGAAACTTCCACCAGTTTGTCCTTTAAAATCTGAGGCTTTTCTGGGCATGGCATCACATGCTTTTAGTCCCAGAACTGTGAGTGAGGACAGCCTGGTCTGCACAGGGAGTTCCAGCCTCCCAGGGCTATGTAGTATCTCAAGAAAAAAAAAAAAGGAGTGGTAGTTGGTACTTTCATTCAGGGGGGCACCTAAGGTCAGTCTCTTTCTACCACTTTGCACTGTTTGTAGGAAAAACAATCCCTACTTTCCCGTTCTTAACTGGTATGATTTCATGTGGGGAGGGAGAATGCCTTCTCAGGTCTGAAAAATCATTCATTTTTTCTCCTTTCTATTGTCTTTTAATCTCTTCACTTTCACTCATTTTTAATCTCTCCCCTCTTTCTTCAAAGCCATGCAGTGGCTGATAATCACATAATGCCCATTGCGCCTCCCTTGCCTTTTCTCAGTCCTGTTGGTCAGCTGCAGGAGCCTATGCTTCATGTGTTAGCCCGCCTCAGCCTTCCTTTCCAGACTTTACCCGTAGTAACCTGTCATATGAGCTAGGTAGACTGTTCGCTAGTCCTGTCTGTATCGGGACCCCCATCCCCTAAAGCATAACATTCCCACCCCTTCGTGACAGTCCCAGATCCCAGCAACCATCCTGCTAGTTACTGCTTTCCTCTCCAAATCTGATCAAGCCAAATCTTGCTGCCCTCTTTGTGCTTACATCACTTCCTGTGCCTTAGAAGTGTCCTTTTGCTTTTCATTATTCATACTTGCTGTGCAAAACCCAAGTTAAACCTTCCCCAAGGTCAAGCTACCCCCCCCCACTTTTGTTTTTTGTCTTTTTGCGGTGGGGGGGGCTTAATATCTTCTTACAAATAATAAAAGCACACATGATCCTGCTTGGGAGAAAGAAAGAATTGTTTCTCCTAGGTTATAGCTTGGAAAGGGCTCTTTCTCCTAGCGACAAGATGTGGTAGGAAGAGCCTAGACTTTCACATCAGGTTTTCTTGTCTTCCGATCACTTCACTTCCTGTGAGGGTGACTATGTGAGCTGGAGGGAAAGCAATGTATATGAAATCTTCAAATACCTGGTACATAGCAAGAAAGCACTCAGTACATTTTAAATGGTTAGTTCCTGACCCCTAAATCTCTTAGTAGTTCCTTCGTGAGAGCTGTGTTGAAGGAGAAAGGAAAGACAAACAAAAGGGCTTCTGGAGAAGAGAGTCCAGCCCATATCTGCTCTGCTGTGAGCTGTCAACTCAGGATTTTAGTTAGGCGTTATGGTTCCTAATATTGCTCTTAATAAGGATTAAATATAGGCATTAGAGACTGGTGAGATGGCTCAGCAGGGAAAGAGCCTCTGAGGACCTGAGTTTGATCACTGGAACCTGTGTCAAAGGCCGACTGTGATTGTGCACATCTGTAATCCTGGCACTCCTGTGGCCAAGTGGGAGACAGAGATGGGGAATGTTGCAGAAGCTTGCTGGTCGGCTAGTCTGGAATGTGCAGCTAGGCAGAAATAGCAGAGAGACCCTGCTACAAACCAAGGTGGAAGGAGAGAAGTACTGACTCCTGAAAGTTGTCTTCTGACATCCACTTCTGTGCACTCATGTTACACACTCACCGTAGACATACACACGTATAATAAAATAACAATTTAAATATAGGTTGGATAAAAGTGAGTTATCAAGTGGGAATGGGAAGCAGGCAGAAGCCCCAGAGCAAGATAGCCCTGGGTTCAGTGAGAGACCCTGCTAAAGGCTGCCATCGAGAAATATGTGAACATGCAAACACATGCACACATGCATGTGCACACACATACAAGAGATGATTTAGGATGAACTCTTTACGGTAAAGACAGGATATGTAATTTAAGAAAAGAACCATCAATTTTTCTTTGCCTTCTGAAATCAAAAATAACTGCCACTTAAGAATTTAAATATAGGGGCCGGAGAGATGACTCAGCAGTTGAGACCACTTCCTGCTCTCAGAGAGGACCTGAGTTTGGTTCCCAGCACTCACATGGTGGCTCTCAACCATCCTTTACTTCAGTTCCAAAGCATCCAATCCCCTCTTCTGTCCTCTGTGATACCCATACCAACATGCAGGCAAAACACTAATACACATAAAATAAAACAAATAATTTTTAAAATTATGAACTTAAATATATTCTATAGTCAGACTTTTGATTTTTATATTGCTTACCTTTAGAAAAAGAATAAAATCCTTACTTATAAATACATATTAAAATATGATTTGTAAGTATGGTGGCATGTGCCTATAGTCCCAGATGTCTGGGAGGCTGAGGCAGGAAGATCACTTGAGGCCCTCGGTTCAAGACTAATGTGGGTAGCATAGGGAAACCTGCTGCCAGCCCCCAAATAACTAATGTACAAAACTAATGTGATGTTCTCCAAGCAAAAGTTACTTCTGTATAAATGGAAGTTTTAAATACATACCAGTATTCTCAAAAACAAAGGCTAGAAATTATTGTTGTTTAAAAAGGTAGTAAGGTAGTTATTGGATATTAATAACATTGAAAGGTTAACGTTAAGAATAAATTTAAGTTAAGGACATTTAGGTTTTGATATATCAGGTTGCGTGTACTTAGGCCTAACATGCCTTGAATCATACTAAGGCAAACAGTTAACAGAGTTATCTATCAATTAGTATAAGAAAACCAGCGGGGGAGCTGGAGAACAGTTATGCGGTTGGAGCACCGGCTGATCTTCCAGAGGACTGGGTTTCAGTTCCCAGCACCCACAGGGCAGCTCACAACTGTTTGTAACTCCAGAGGCTTCAATTCCCTCTTTTGGCTTCTCTGAGTAACTGGCTACACATAGTAACATACTATACACATAGGCAAACACTCATACACATAAAATAAAAGGGAGTATCTTTTTAGAAGAAAGCAAGCAAGCTATCTGGGCTGCTTAGAGGTAAAGTGTGCCAAGAAGCCATGGGTTCAGCCCCCAGTACTGAGAGGAATAACCGAACTTTTGGACATAATATTTGTTTTTCATTGGTCTTAAATGCTAACAAGCACTGTGGGGCTTTTTGTTATTATTTGTTTCTTCAGTCCTAGGGTGAACTCAGGGCAGTATGCATGCTAGCTGAGTGCTTTGCCGCTGAGCTCCCTCTGCAGCCCCAGATTTCCTTCTTTGCATGATTTCAGGAATTCCAACAGCTTAGACCTATCTGCTCCCTGAACTGGGACAGTGTTTTAAACACACAAATATATATGTCTCAGTGGGTGTAGCATGACTTAAGCCCATGTTTTCTCTATGATAGAGTTTGAGTTCTTTTGATTAATGGGACCGCAGCAATTTGGAAAATCATTAGGTTCATCAGTTTGAGTGTTCCTGCTGCTGAGTATTCTGCATTTGACTATCTAATTCATTATCGATATGAGTGTCAGCCTACAACAGAACTGAATGAATTTCAGTATGTTTGTACTTTTCTTTTGGGGATGTGCGTGTGAACCCACGACTTTCTACATATGGGACACACACTCTACCAATGAGGTTTACTCCCAGCCTCTGAGGATTTGTAATGCTTTTTTTTCCCTCTTTGATAGGTTTGTGTTCGCTATTTTCAAACATGTAATAACGTACATGTTTTGAAGCCAAAATTTGTGTGTTCCTTCGGTTATCCTGTGCTCAAATACAGTCAGCCACATCGCTCCCTGAGAACGGCAGCTGGTGAGTACGCTCCCCAAAGAGCATGTCAAATAACCGACTCTTTCTTAGTTCTTGAAGACTTACCAAAGTAAAAAGTTAGCCCTGTATTTCTAGCATGGCTCTCCCCACCGCTGTCCGGTCCCTCTTTTCTTTCCCCTCCACTCATAGTTTCCCTGAATGCTGGTATCTTTGTACAGCAGGGGCTGGGTTATACCCGGCCATCCGTTCTATATTCTCTGATTTTCTAGGTGCAGTCATTGGCACTGATGTGACCTGCTCAGTTCAGGTGAACTGCTGACTTAATAGAAGCATCTTTATATCCTTGTGTACGGTCACTCTGTGAGGTGAAACTCAATCCGCTGTTACGACGGCATGATGTAATCACCCTGACTGCCCCTGCTGGAGAGTTCCCTGGCCTTTGTCTACTTACCTTTCTCCCAGCTGCCCAGCCTCTGCAGATAACTAGAGGCCTCAAGTATTAGATTTGGCAAGGGCATTAGAGCCTTTTTTTCCTGCTGGCCTATTTAGAACCCTGACAAAGAACCCTAGATTTCATTGTACACTTAAGCTTTTGGCAGATACAGGGGCCCTGGCAACGGAAAGCGGGGAAATTCTAGGCAGATTCTGCCTGATTTTCCATGCTTTTATATGCCATCCTCAATCGTCTCAGAAAATGTAAACTTTACATTCACCTGTTTTTAAAACGATGTGTATCTGTTTATACATATACACACATATATGTACACATATGTACACTATATGTGTTTTTTATTCCTAGCACCACATATACAGTATGTAATTTATTTTGATAATTGTATAGGTGGAGTGTGTGTGTGTGTTTGTGTATGTGTGTGTGTGTATGTGTGTGAGTGAGAGAGAGAGAGAGAGAGAGAGAGAATTGTGTATGTACGTGGTGTGTGTATATATCTGCGGTGTGTGTGTGTGTTTGTGGTGCTGGGAATAAAAGCCAGGGCTTCATACATAGAGGCAAGCCTTCTTCCACCTCACTCACTCTGCTCAAGCCAGGATTTCCACCTTCTAACCCTGATGACTGTTGCTTCACAGAGAAAATAGAGGCAGGAGGAACAGCAACTCCCTGCTTCATCCTTGAAACTCTCCTCCTGAACTTCAGGTCTCTCTGTTTATCAACTGCAGGTCAAGCGGGCTACTGTATGGTGTTTGTTTGTTTGTTTGTTTGTCTGTTTTGAGGCAGGGTTTCTCTGTGTCACCCTGGCTATCCAGGGACTCCCCTGTAGACCAGGCTGGCCTTGAACTCACAAAGTTCTACCTGCCTCTGCCTCCTGAGTGCTGGGGTTAAAAACATGCCCCACTGCCACCTGGCTTCGTGTTTAACTATTATTAGCTGTGCAACACTAAGAAAGTTGCTCATCTGTTTCATCACCTGGAAAATGAAAGTAACCATAGTATTCATTCATTCGCACTGCTGTGAGCATTTGTTCAGGAAGTGTGATCGCCTGTGTGCAAGGCACTGCCCTAGGAGTGTATCAGTAGGGTGTATGTTTCAGCACCTACTGTCTCTGTCACTCAGCATCTTTTTAAGTTGTTTTTTTTTTTTTAACTCGGCTTAATGGAGAGAGGAAAAAAGGTCTTGGATAATTTGGCAGAACATAATTTGAACATATTAGAAATGTTTAGGTGTGGTGGTGCATGCCTGTAATTCCAGCTCTCAGGAGGCCGAGGTAGGTGGATCCAGCCTGGTCTACAGCTTGAGTTCCAAGACAGCCAGGGCTACACAGTGAGGCCCTGTCTCAAAAGAACAAACAATAACAAACAAACAATACCGAAAGAGAGGGCAAGAGAAAATAAAAAATTTCCAAGACTGCTAGATAAGCAGTGGCCTGGTTGTAGTCATAAGTATCGAGGACAGTTATTGGAACAAGAGATCTCCTTGAGAGCAGGTCTTTTTTGTACATCAGTATTGTTTCAATTGGTCAGGAACTTCATAGGAGGGACATTGTAACTCTGACAGAGAGCATTGGGAAGCTGAAAAACATGAGTTCTGTTGCAGTAGATCTGTGTCTTGGAGTAATTCCGTAACGCTTTAGTGGTTATACTTTTTAAATTATAAAATGCTGGGCTTTTAGTTTTTTGGGTTTTTTTTATTGTTGTTTGCTTGGTTTGTTTGATTGTCTATAAGATGGAACAATTTCTGCCTCTACTTGAGAACATATTCTAATTTTAGAAATAAAAGTAGCTATTGATGATACATATTTAATGAGATCATTTCCCATTTATTTTTGAAGTGCTACAGGGGCAGGTTGTTCAGTTCAAACTCTCTGACATTGGAGAAGGGATTCGAGAAGTAACTATTAAAGAATGGTAAGTTAGTCTCAAAGTAATTTTAAGTCAATGTAAAATTAATTGAATATGCAAAAAATAAGACTCAAATTGGGAAACTTCTTCGCGGATATGCTGGTAGCAGAAGTTATTCCTCAAGTCTCTTTCTTTGATGTGATTTGTTAATGATTGTTATTTTATTTTGTGTGTGTGTGTGTGTGTGTGTTTTGCCTGTGTGTATACCTGTGTGTCATGTAGGTGCCTTGTGTTCTCAGAGGCCGGAAGAGGCTATAGAATCTGTGGAACTGGAGTTACAGATGGTTGTAAGCCACCATGTGGGTGCCAGGAATTGAACCCAATACTCTAATGACTGAGCCATCTCTCCAGTCCGTTTCTTTCTCTTTAAAAAAAAAAAAATCCTTTAACTGTCTATTCTTTGCTTCAACTACAAAAGAGATTACTTTCTAAGAGATGATAAGTTGATATAAAACTAGGGCAGAGCAATAATCAAAGCCAAAGCAATAACCCTGCAAACTGGGCACCTCTCAGTCACACCCACCCTACATGAATTTGGAAGAATCTAATGTATGAATTCGCAATTTCGTAAAATCTTAAAGCAATCCTGTCACTTAACTCTCTACCATACTGAACATGGCTTTAGGAAGCAGGCTTGGTTCGTGTGACCTGACATACTTTGCCTGTGGGTTTACAAGATACTTTACCTGAAAGGCACAAATTAAAAAAATCTGAAACCCTACAACAATTAGGACTGGTGAGATGACTCAGTGGTTAAGGGCATGCTTTGTTCATCCAGCAGTCCTGAGTTCAACTCCTGGCACCTAGATTTGGCAGCTCACAACTGCCTGTGACTTCACCTCTGGTGGGATCCTGTGCCTCTGTACATGCCTTATACTTACATACTTACATGCCCCTCTCCAATTAAAACAAAAACTTTAAAATTATGTAGTATAGGTACACATATAGTTGCTTGGAACAAAAGGAAGAAATCCTCTACTGCCTTTAACATTCTCCATCCTTTTGTGTCTTTAATCTTTTGGAAAAAAAATACCTCTTGGCACTGAACTAAGTTTTAAGGTTTTTAGAAGTAGCAGTTACGATGATTAAAGAGATTTCATCCCCACCAAAGTTCTTTATTTTTCCCCTCAAGATAAGGTTCTGCTCTGTATCCCAAGCTGACCTCAAGCTTGCCATCCTTCTGCCTCTGCCTCCTGTGTCCTCAATGCTGGGGTACTGTTTACTGCTCCACTCTGCGTGGCTCATGTAGTCTTTAAAGAACTGGACTGAGGCCAGTGAATGTCATGTCCTCTACTTAGCATTCTTCGCTTTGTAAACAGAGGATTTTAGTAACCAGCCTTCCTTATAATTGTCTTTCCTGGCACTGTGTAATTGTGAGGCGAGCCATGGACTCAGGAGAGCCTGGTTTTGAAATTCGTGATGCACCTGTTCTCTGCTGAGCTGCTGTCTCTTATGGTGTAGAATCAGGTAACAGTTGTGGTTCTCCCAACTCACAGTGGCTGTTAGCACAATTAAAATGTAACACGTAGGAGATGCCTTACCTTTCTGAAGAACTGTGTACTTTTTGACATATTGATACTTTGCTTCAAGACCAAGTTTCCTCTTAGAAAAAAAAATAACTTCTTAATTTCTGGGTCTTTTTTTATTTCTTTTTAAAAAAGATTTATTTATTCATTACGTATACAACATTCTGTCTCAATGTCTGCCTGCATGCCAAAAGAAGGCACCAGATCTCATTATAGATGGCTGTGAGCCACCATGTGGTTGCTGGGAATTGAACTCAGGTTCTTTGGAAGAGCAGCCAACATTCTTAACCACTGAGCCATCTCTCCAGCCCTAACTTCTTAATTTCTATCTTATTAATTTTGTAGATCCACGTGCATAGGAAGGGGGTTAAGGCTGTTAGAAGAGGAAATTATTTTTTTCCTAATGAAAATCTTAAGACCAGGCCTGGTTTTCTCAGCTACATTGAGGCTGGAGGATCTCAAGTTTGAGGTAAGCCTGCACTATAGAGAGAGACTCTATCCCCCTCATTCCAAATTTAATAGTTTAGTTTTTTAGTTTTTATTTTTGAGATGGGGGTTGTCTTGATAGGTTGCCTAGGCTGGTCTTGAATTTGTAATCTTCCTGCCTCTGTCTCTTGAGTGATGGGATCACCAGTGTGCATACCATGCCTGGCTCTTAAACGTTCTTAAATAACAAAAATGTCACCTTTCCCGTGAATTCTTTAAGAATTATTAAGCGCTTTCTTGACTAGTGTTTGTTCTCCAACTTAAGATTTAAAAATGACTCAAGACAAAATTGTTTTATGCTTGGAAAAAAATGTGTAAAATAGGATTTTATGTGTAGGATAGTGTGCCTTATACTAGTAATTCCAGCAATTGGGAGGCTGAGGCAGGAGGGTGACACGTAGTTTGATACCAACTCCAGCTACATAGTGGGACCCTGGAGAGGGGGAGAGAGAGAGAGAGAGAGAGAGAGAGAGAGAATATTATATCCATACAGTTGAATCACTTAAAAAAATCCATTCTACTAATGCGTGCTTTTTTTTACTATAGTGTTTAAACCATTTATATTTTGTATAATTACTGATAAGGTAAGATTTTTGTCTGCTACTTTGTTGATGATTTATGTGTTTGTGTTTATGTATTCTTTTCAATCACTACCTTCTTTTGTGTCAATTAGGCATTTCTGGTGCACTGTTTACTGTTTGAATTCTCCTTTTCAATTATCTGCCATGACCTTCATTGCCACTTATTTCTTCTTGTGGATTTGAGTTACTGTTCAATGTTTTTCATTTCAGCCAGAAGGCTTCTTAATATTTCTTGAAGGGTAAATGTGTTAATCTAGTTTTAGTTCTGGAAGTTACTAATTTTTATAAAAGATTTGTTTTTATTATTTTTAAGTGTGTGTGTGTGTGTGCGTGCGCGTACACGCACTTACAGGTTCCCTCAAGGTAGAGCCTTCAGAGATCCCTGGAGCTGGAGTTACAGGTGGTTATGAACCACCTGATACAGGTGCTAGGAACCAAACTTCCTAACCACCGAATCATCTCTCCAACTCCTCAATTTTCTAAGAATAGTTTTGCTAGACGTAAGATATTTTATGTTTTAGACAGGGTCTTCCTATCTAGCCCTAACTGGAATAGAACCCACAGAGATCTGCATACCTATGCCTCTTGGGTGCTAAGATTACTACACCAGCTCAAGATAAAGATAAGATTAAAAAAGTTTTTAGATTTACTTAATTTGATGTATATGAGTGGTTTGCTTTGCATTTATGTGTGTGCACCACATGCCTGGTACCCATAGATATCAGAAGATGTGTCCGATCCCCTGGAACTGTGGTTACCTGTTGTCAGTCACAATGTGGGTGCTGGGAACCAAACCTGGACCCGCCGCAAGAGCAGTGTGTGCTCTTAACCACTGAGCTGAATCTCCAGCCCCCAATGTAGTATTAAAGACAGCCTTTTCTTTTCTCTCCCTCATTGACCATGTCATTGCTCCACCTTCCAGAATTATTATTTCTGATTAGAAAGCAGCTGTTAATCTAAAAAGCCTTCCCTGTAGAGATGAGTGGCTGTCATCCTGCCTTCAGATTCTTTTAATCATTTTATTTTGATATGTGTGACTGTTATCGCCTTTGAATTTATCGTTGGAATCAATTTAACTTCTTGCATTTGTATATCAGTCTTTGAGCCAGTATTTATGTTTCACATTATTTCTTATAGTTTTTGAGATTATAATTATATTCATTCCCTCTTTCCTTTCCTCCCTCCAAACTCGTCCATAGATCCTTTGTTCTCTTTCAAATTCATAGCTTCTTTTTTCATTATTACACACACATACACATATGGATATTCATACATACATATATATTTATAAATATGTAAATATAACCTGCTCAGTCTGTAAGATGTTACACGTATGCTGGTCATTTGACACTGGGTAACCAACTGATGTGGCCCCGCTGGGGGTGACTGTTTCTCCTTCTCTCAGGATTCCTTAGTTGCCTGTAGTTCTTTGTGTGGGGCTGAGGGGACAGGATCTTATAGCAAATTCCCTGATCCTCTGACTTTACAATCTCTCTGCCCTCTTTTCCATAAGGCTTAGGTGTAACATAAATAATAAAAACCCAGAGAAAGAAATTGGGGTTCAACCCAAATACCAGAGAAGCAAAGCAGCCAAGCCACTAGAGAAGTCTTACCTCTACTAAGGCTGGACAACCACAGACAAGGCCTCTCTCTCCTTCAATTTTTATTCCCTCCAGTGCTGGGATTAAAGCTGTGTGACTCCCTAGAACTGGGTTTAAAACTGTGAGCCACCACCACCACCTGGATTTCTTTCTGCATTGTAGCCCAGGGTGGCCTTGAACTCACAGAGATTATCTGACTCTGTCTCCCAAACCCTGGGATTAAAGGTGTGTGTCACCGTTGACTCTGGTCTTCAGACAAGATTTATTTATCCAAATACAAATCACTAAACTTTGGTTTGAGAGTGTTTTATAGATGTATCCATTGGGACTAGGCTCCACAACTCTGTATTTGATTGCTTGTGGTTTTCTTTTTTTTTCCTTTTTTTTAATTTTTCTCTGCTCCCCTCCCTGCCTCTCCCCTTCCCCCTTCAATCCTCCCACAAGGTCCCCATGCTCTCCATTTACTCAGGAGATCTTGTCTTTTTCTACTTTCTACTTTCTACTTCCCATGTAGATCTATGTAAGTCTATCTTAAGTGTCCGCATTGTTGTCTAAGTTCTCTGGATTGTGGTTTGTAGGCTGGCTTTCTTTGCTTTATGTTTAAAAACCACCTATGAATAAAATAAAATAAAATAAACCCACCTATGAGTGAGTACATGTGATCATTGTTTTTCTGTGTCTGGATTACCTCACTCAAAATATTGTTTTCTAGCTCCATCCATTTTCCTGCAAAATTTATGCTGTCGTTATTATTTATTTATTTATTTTGCTGTGTAGTACTCCATTGTGTAAATGTACCAAATTTTTCTTATCCATTCTTTGATCAAGGGGCATTTAGGTTGTTTCCAGGTTCTGGCTATGAAAATCAAAGCTGCTATGAACATAGTTGAGCACATGTCCTTGTGGCATGATTGAGCATCCTTTCGATATATACCCAAAAGTAGTATTACTGGGTCTTGAGGAAGGTTGTTTCCTTATTTTCTGAGAAATTGCCACACTGACATCCAAAAGGACTGTACCAGCTTGTATTCCCACCAGCAATGCAGAAGTGTTCCCTTTACCCCACAACCTCTCCAGCATACGTTGTCATCAGTGTTTTTGATCTTGGCCATTCTTACAGGTGTAAGATGGAATCTCAGAGTTGTTTTGATTTGCATTTCTCTGATGTCTAAGGATGTTGAACATTTCCTTAAGTGTCTTTCAGCCATTTTAGATTCCTCTGTTGAGAGTTCTCTGTTTAGGTCTGTACTTCATTTTTTTTTTTTTTGGATCTTTTGGTGTCCAATTTTTTGAGTTCTTTGTATATTTTGGAGATCAGACCTCTGTCTGATGTGTGGTTAGTGAAGATCTTTTCCCATTCTGTAGGCTGTCATTTTGTCTTGTTGACCGTGTCCTTTGCTTTACAGAAGCTTTTCTGTTTCAGGAGGTCCCATTTATTGATTGTTTCTCTCAGTGTCTGTGCTGCTGGGGTTCTATTTAGGAAGTGGTTCCCTGTGCCAATGTGTTCAAGTGTACTTCCCACTTTCTTTTCTATAAGGTTCAGTGTGGCTGGCTTTATGTTGAGGTCTGATCCATTTGGACTTAAGTTTTGTGCATAGTGATAGATATGGGTCTATTTTCATTCTACCTGTTGATATCCAGTTATGCCAGCACCACTTGTTAAATATGCTTTCTTTTTTCCATTTGATATTTTTTGCTTCTTTATCAAAGATCAGGTGTTCGAAGATGTGTGGATTGATATCCAGGTCTTCTATTCGGTACCATTGGTCTTCCTGTCTGTTCTTATGCCAACACCAGGCTGTTTTCAGTACTGTAGCTCTGTAGTAGAGTTTGAAGTCAAGAATTGCGATGCCTCCAGAAGTTCTTTTGTTGTACAGGATTGTTTTGACTATCCTGGGTTTTTTGCTTTTCCAAATGAAGTTGAGTACTGTTCTCTCAAGGTCTTTGAAGAATTTTGCTGCGATTTTGATAGGCATTGCGTTGAATCTGTTGCTTGTGGTTTTCTATAATGGTCTCTGAGAAGTTTTTTTGATGGGGGTGAGGACTAAATTACCTGTGCACATAAAGGCAAATGTTTAGAATGTAGCTAGCGATCCTGCTGGTTTAGTAAAGTGGTGGTTATAGGTTGTCCTTCAAGATCCATAACTTACTGCCCTGAGTAGTTGTCTAGGTTTCCAGTATGAGCCGTGATTTCCCTCTTGTCGAGTGAGCCTTCAGTCTGATTAGAGAGCTGTTGGTTACCATGAAGGCATGTATGCCACTACTGCACACTTAGGGTTATCATGCCATGCTGGTCCTGTCGCAGTTCATAGGTATTATAGGTGGGTAGGACTTTGGTTACCTCCCTCCTTTGGAAGCTTACATGGCTTTCTGGACAATGAAAGCTACTCCTCAGGGAGGAGGCATTCAGGTCAGGTCCAGCTCAGGGGCCTGTGGGCCCTGTATCTGTGCACCGTGTCTTAAGCAATAGGGACTTACCTGCCACCTCTAGGGGGCAAGCAGGGGCAGTAACAATAATCTGTAATGGTCAGGCGTCTCTTAGACAACTGTGCCAAACAACTCAAAAGAGGGCTTCTCATGCTGGGTGTTGGGCTTTTGTTAGGTGGCTCTTGAAGGGAGCATTGTCAGCCCAAATGGGAAATGCCATTTAAAGTATTTATACACAGACTTGTCTATATTATAGATTTGGGGGTTTTTGTTTGTTTGTTTGTTTTAAGATGGGCAGTTAATAGTATAATTCCTTGAGGCCTTTTCAGACACCCTTATTTTTATTTTACCCTCCTCTCTCTTTCTTTTGTATTTTTCTCCCTCCCACCTCCCTGATTAGTGTCCCCAATTTTTCCAGTTTTTCTTATTAGATCACTTGTACCCTGCTGTTCCCCTCTGTTCCTGATTTTATTATTATTATTATTTTTTTGCTCCCCAACTCTCCCACCCTAGCAATGGTCCCTTTTTCACTCTGCTGGTGTAGTTACTCCATGATATGTACTCAGAACTGAAGATTTGGACTTTGAACCTCAGATCAAAGAGAACATATGATGTTTGTCTTTCTCTGTCTGGTTTACCTTAGCAAATATAATATTTTCTGTTTCCATCCACTTACCTGCAAAGTTCATGATTTCACTTCCCTTTACAGCTGACTAGCGTTCCATAGTGTATATACAGCACATTTTCATTGTCCTCTCGCCAGATGAAGGACATGTGAGCTGTTTCCATTTCCTAGCTATGTGAGTGGAGCAGCGATCAGCCATGAACATGCTGAGCACGTGTCTGTGAAGTAGGTAGGATGTTGGCCTCTTTGGGCATCTGCCAAGGAGTAGTATGTTTGCATCGTAGGGTAGATTGAACATTCTCCACAGATTTGAGATTTCCAAAGTGGCTGAATCCCACCAACAGTGAATGAGGGGTCCCTCTCCCCCCACACTCCCTCCAGCATTCCTTGTTAATTGTTTTGTTGATTTTTGCCATTCTGTCTTGGGTAAGATGAATTCACAAAGTTTTGATTTGAATTTTCCTAATTGTTAGGGACAGTGAACGTTGTTTTGTTTTGTTTTGTTTTTGAGGTTTTTTTAAATTATTTTTCTTTTAAGAACTCTCTCCCACCCCATTTAATGAGTCCTTTTGACTCTTTGCTTTTGTTTTGTTTTTGAGTTCTTTATTTAATTGCGATATTAATCTTGTGTCAGATTTACAGCTGACAAAGATTCTCCCCCATTCTGTGGGCTTCCTCTTCACTCAGGTGATTGTTTCTCTGGCTCTGGAGAAGCTCTTTAGTTCCATGACGTCCCACTTGTCAGTTGTTGGAGTCTAATTTAGAGTCCTTTCCTGTACCTCTGTGATGTAGGGCACTGCCATGTTTTCTTCTGGCAATGTCAGGTTAACATTTAGGCCATTATTTCAGACAGGGTCTCACCAGGTGTCTAAGGCTGACCTCAAATTCATGAGCCTTCTGCCTCAGCCATCTGTGTGTTAGATCACAAGTTTATGCACCATGCTCAACATTTTTTTGGTTTTTTGAGAAGAGTTTCTCTGTGTAACAGTCCTGGCTGTCCTGGAACTCGCTTTGTAGACCAAGCTGCTCTCAGACTCACAGAGATCTGCCTGCCTCTGCCTCCTGAGTGCTGGGACTAAAGTCATGTGCCTCCGCCACCCAGCTCACTTCTGACCACTTCTCTTCCTTTCCTCTTGAGACTCCGGCATGTACATTTGTATACTTTATGACATTGTCTCAGAGTCTCTAAGCTTTGTCCATTTTTCCTTCTTATTCCTCAGACTGGAAAAAAAAATTAGCTGATCCTCAGATTTCTTGGTTCTTCGTTTTACCCAAATGGATCAGCCATACAACCCTTCTAGTAAATTTTTATTTTAGTCAGTTTTGAACTGCAAAATTTGGTGTGTTTTGTCATGTGTGTATTTCTGCCATTTTATTACTGTTTTCTACCTGCCAGGACATCGTTTTCCCATACTTCCTTCAATTTTGGAACATTATTTAGTTCTGTGTTTCTTAGGTTACAGTTGTGCTAGGCAGAAGAAGATGGCTCTGGGGCAAGTTCAGATCACAGCGGGGTCCTTGAAGGCGTCGTCGTCGTTGTTTATGTTCAAACACTGCTCATCCTTTAAGTCCTGATACACAGCCAATACAGGCTGAGTAGCTTTTATCTGAACTGTTTGCTGCCAAAACTACTTCACAGATTACAGAACACTTGCTTAGGCTTCGTCATTTGAGCATCCAGAACCCAGGGTTTTGAGCCTCATTGTTTGGACAGAGAAAAGCTTCAAATTTTGTGTTTTTTAATTAGGGATGCTCATGATGTAATATTATACAACAAGAGGAAATACTATTTAAATGTAACATTTTAAGAACTTATTTTCAAAAAAAAAAAGTGGATCAAAAAACCTGGATGTGTAATTAAACCTGAAGTACAGGGTTTAGTTTGGGTTCTCTCTCTCTCTCTCTCTCTCTCTCTCTCTCTCTCTCTCTCTCTTTCTTTTTTTGTTTTTGAGACAGGGTTTCTCTGTAGCTTTGGAGCCTGTCCTGGAACTAGCTCTTGTAGACCAGGTTGGGCTTGAACTCACAGAGATTCGCCTGTCTCTGCCTTCCCGAGTGCTGGGATTAAAGGCATGCACCTTCACCGCCCAGCTAGTTTGGGTTCTTAATTTTAACATTTGTTAAGGGTTTGTCAAAGAAACTCTAAATGTCATTTTAATCTTTTCTAAAGCATTTCTTCGTGCGCCATCTCAGCATCAATGCTGGGCTAGGTGGCTTTTAATGTGACGGTGTGTCATTTCCATGAGTATGCAAGGACGACTTGTAATCATGACTATTGATGCCAGCGTGCCCTTGTCTCCTTCTTCCAGGTATGTAAAAGAAGGCGATACCGTGTCTCAGTTTGACAGCATCTGTGAAGTTCAGAGTGACAAGGCCTCCGTCACCATCACCAGCCGCTACGATGGCATCATCAAGAGGCTCTATTACAACCTAGACGAGATCGCTTACGTGGGGAAGCCACTGATTGACATCGAAACAGAAGCTTTAAAGGGTAAATGTGTTCTGCTGCACTTGTCTCTGCTGTCCTTTGGTTGCTGAATCTCCATAAAGTAGCCCTTGCCGGGCATGGTGGCACACACTATAATATCAGAACTTGTGTAGCTTGATGCAGGAGGATTGCGAGTTTGAAGCCAGCTTGGGCTACATAGTGATTTTGAAGCTATCCTAGGCTACAAAGAAACTCTGTCTCAAAAAACAGGATAATTCTAACTAACAGAACCTGGGTTGGGGATTTAGAACAGAAAATTAGGGAAACTGGAAGGATTTTCTGTGATACCTAATTATCTTTGGATTAATACCACAGCAAAAGCCTGTACAGTAAGACGTCCTTTGTTGGAATGTCTGCCTTTTGGAAGCTTTATGTTCAGTGGAGCAAGAAACTCTCCCAGGGATGAAAAATTGGGGTCCAGAACATTGGTTAGTAAGGGCACAGATTGGAATCTAGAAAAGTTGAGCCTAACATAGTAGGGTTGCCCATTCAGTGTCTCAGACCTGGAATCGTCACTGGCTTGACCTCTGTGTGGGTAGCCATGGTGGCCTCTGTGTGGGTAGCCATGGTGGCCTCTGTGTGGGTAGCCATGGTGGCCTCTGTGTGGGTAGCCCATCCAAAGTGGCCCAGAGTTTTAGTTATAGATCACTAGTGTATGTGTGTGTGTATACTTGCTCATGTGTATACCTGAGCATGCATGTGGAGGCCAAAGGTTATTATCAGATGTCTTCCTCACCTTCCACCTTATTTCGAAGGACTATGTCTCTCGCTGACCCTGCTGACTGGGCGATGAGCTGCAGGGATGTTTCCCTCTACCGTTCTTCCCCGACAGTGCTGGGGTTACAGACATACGCTGCAATGCCTGACATTTACATGGGTGCTGAGGATCTGAACTCAGGGCCTTAGGCCCAACAAGCACTTTACTGACCTGACCATCCAGCCAGCCCCGCCACTGGGTTCTCTAAAGAGATGCTTTTGGCTGACGTTATCTCCATCTTGCTTCCAGATTCAGAAGAAGATGTTGTTGAAACTCCCGCTGTGTCCCACGAAGAGCACACTCACCAAGAGATAAAGGGCCAGAAAACCCTAGCGACACCTGCTGTTCGTCGTCTAGCAATGGAAAACAATGTAAGTTATAAACAAGTTTGAAATTACATAGAAAGGGCTGGAGAGATGGCTCAGTGGTTAAGAGCATTGCCTGCTCTTCCTAAGGTCCTGAGTTCAATTCCTGGCAACCACATGGTGGCTCACAACCATCTGTAATGGGGTCTGGTGCCCTCTTCTGGTCTACAGACAGAATATTGTATACATAATAAGTAAATAAATAAATATTAAAAAAAAAGAAAAAAGAAATTACATAGAAAGTATATATTTTCTCTGGGGGGAAAAAGCCAGTTCCCTGAAATGATTCAAGCTGGAATTAATGAGCGTGGTTACTCTGGTAAAGTGACCATGGCACAGAAGCACTTGGGAGGGGACAGGAGAGATAGCCCGGCTGTTAGGGCATCTGCTGCTCTTCCAGAGGATGCAGGGTCTGCTCCCAGCACCCACGGTGGGCGGCTCACAACCACCACGTCCAGCTCCTGCTCTCGGGTATCTGATGCCTCTTCTGGCACCTGGGAACACTTCCAACATATGTGACGTAAGTTCCCACAAACACACACACCAATAAAAATGAATCTTAAAAAAAAGTAGAGCACTGGGAAGAAATGACAGGACAAGATGAACTTAATACATTGAATAACATGTTTCTTTCATTCTTTCCCAGACTGTGTAGCAATAACAGCTAACATTCCTTGAGTCTTGTGTCTTGGGGCTGGAGTGCTAAGGTGGCTCAGGCAGTGAAGTGCTCACTGCACAAACCTGAGGACATGCGTGTGATGCTCCGCTCTCACATAAGCAGACTGGTGTGGTGGTGCACACAGTAATCCCAGCACTCAGGATGTAGAGGCTGGAGGATCCCTGGGGCTCACTGGCTGTCAGTCTGCTCTAAATGGGCAAGCTTCAGGTTTAGTGAGAGCCCCCGTCTCAAAAAACAAGATGCACAGCTCTTGAGAAATGCCACCACAGATTGACCCCTGGCCTTCACATGCACAGGCCTGGGAGTGTGTATATGTGTTCACATGAACATACAGAAGAGCACATCAGCTGGCCTTCGCATGCACAGGCCCAGGTGTGTGTACCTGTATTCACATGAACACACAGAAGAGCACATCAAACAAGCAAACACATACATACAAGTATTTTAGTCCAGGTGAACTAGAAGCACAATTTAAGAATCCAGATATCCATCACTGATTTCTTAAAGAACCAAAACTCTGTAAAGGGGATGAAAGGCTAGCGAAGGGAAGAGGCTGAAAATGGAACAGGCTTGGGTTTGCTTACAAAATTCTGCCAGATGCTGTGCTGTAACAAGGAGATTTGTTGTCTTTTTCTATCCGTGTGTTAGTCAGCTTGCCATAGCTGCAGCAAAATGCCTGAGAGAAACCATCTAATAAAGAAGATGCTTAATTTGGCTCCAGTTTCCTAGATTTCGGGTGCTGAGCAATTGGCCCCGTGCTTTAGGCGTGAGCTAGTGCAGCACATCATGGCAGAGCGCGTGGGGAGGAGGCTTGCTCTCTACATAGCTTGGAATCTCCTTTGATGATGCACCAGTACTAACTGGGAATCTCCCAGTAGACTCCAACTCAGTCTCCACTGCATCCTAACACCAGCAAATTAGAACCACCTTTGTTGGCGGAGGCCACTCATTCATTCCCAGCTGTCCAGACCCCAAATAATCACTCAGAAATTATATTATTTGCAATACTGTTTGGCCAGTAGCTTAAGCGTATTGCTAGCTAGCTCCTGTATCCTAAACTAACCCATCTCTATTAATCTGTGCATCCCCACAAGGTTGTGGCCTACCAGCAAAGTTTCAGCGGACTCTAGCAGAGGTCTGTCTAGGTGTCTCCCTGACTCCACCTATTCTCTCTAAATATCTTTTCCAGCCTAGCTATATTCTGTTAAGCCATTGGCTGAAAGCAACTTCTTTATTAACCAATGGTATTCACAGCATATAGAGGGCAATCCTACATCACACCTTTTATTTTATTTTTTATTTTTATGTATGTTTGCATTTTTTTTAAAAGATGGGATCTCATGTGGTCCAGACTGACCTCAAAATTACTACATAGCCCAGGCTGTCCTCATAATGTCTATTCTTCTACCTCAGTCTTCAAAGCGCTGGAATTACAGGCATTCACTACCATACCCTGCTGAGCACAAGCCTTGAACACAGACCTTGGGGACAATACAGACCCAAACCATAGCCTACTCTGTAACTGTATGGCAGGTGAAATGCCAGGCAGCATGGCTCCCTGACACTAGTAAGTACTGACATGTCTCAGTTAACCTTCCAGATTAACTGTGAGGCACAGGTCGGAAGGGCCAGTGCGGTCACACATCTGAATGCACTGGAGGCGGAGTTTACCAGAGTTCAATCATCTCAACCATTGGTTGCCTCAACAGTCATCACATTCATTATTTTAGTGCGTGTGTGCCAGGAACTGTACACATTATCCATGACTCCTACAATAGCCTTTCAGGGTGGTTGGATTCTTGGTGTTTCACTGTTGAGAAAGGACAAAGAGGTGTGTTAACGTGCCCAAACCCAAAGTCAATAACAGAACTGGGCGTTTGAGGAGAGTCCTGTTTACCCAGCCTGAGTTCTTCCCACTCTGCCCAGCCATGCAGAGTTTCTGAGAAAAGTAGCTGTTACCATTGGAACAAAAACAAAAGTCTGTCTTATGCACATGTGTGATTGATTTGTAGAAATGTTACTATAGATCCAGACAGTTCTGCCCAATGAGGAACTATCCAAGGGCATACTCTCTGATGCGTTCTGCCTTGTGTGGTCATGGGTAAACACTCCACAACTCATCTATACCCCTTCCCCCTTTTTAGGGGTGAAGTTTTAAGTAGATACTATGCTCCCCAGGCTCATCTGGAAGCCCAGTCTGGCTTGAAACTCACAGTCTTCCTGCTTCTGCTCCTAAAATGCTGAGATTGTGTTTGCATACCCAGCTTCTCTATATCTTTTCTTTCACAGCTGTAGTTTTTGTTAGTCTTTTGTTGTTGTTGTTGTTGTTCTTCTTCTTCTTCTTCTTCTTCTTCTTCTTCTTCTTTTTCTTCTTCTTCTTCTTCTTCTTTCATACACTACCTCACAACCACAGTTTGCCCTCCTGCCACTCCTCCCAGATCCATTCCTCCCCTGTTTCCCTTCAGAAAAGAGCAGGCCTCCGTGGTATATCAACCAAACTCATCATAACAAGATACAATAAGACCTGAAGCACAAACTCTCATATTGAGGTTGGGCGAAGCATCCCAGTAGGAGGAAAGGGGTTCCAAGAGCAGGCGAAAGAGTTAGAGACACCCCCACTCCCACTGTTAAGGGTCCCACAAAAACACCTGCCTACACCACCATCTCATATATGCAGAGGACCTATCACAGACCTGTGCAGGCTCTGATTGCCGCTTCAGTCTCTGGGAGCCCCTATGAGCCCTGCTTAGTTGATTCTGTGGGCTGTGTTCCCCAGTGTCCTCAACCCCCTTGGCTCCTACAAGTTTTCCTCTTCTTCCTTGGAATTCCCTGAGCTTCAAGGCGGGGTGGGGGCAATGGAGATCTCCAATTTGGACTCTGTTCCCACCCGATGTTTGGCTGTAATCTCTACGTCTGCTTCCATCAGTTGCCTGAGGAAGCCTCTCTGATGGCGATTGGGCTAGGCACCCAATAAAAAAAAATATGTATTATACAAAATAGTGGTTTTAATTAATAAGCACTAAGAATTAAAGAAGAAGGTCTGGAGAGATGGCTTAGTGCTTAAGATACCTGGCTGCTCTTCTAGGGACCCAGATTCGATTCACAAAATCTACATGTCGGCTAACAACTAGCTCTAACTCTGGTCCTAGGGGATCTGAAGCTCTCTTCTGGACTCCTTGGGTACCAGGCACACAAGTGATGCACCTATTATATGCAGGCAAGACACACACAACAAATAAAGAAATAAAAACTCATTTAAAAAAAAGAATTATGAGCAAGCAGAGCGTGGTGCACACCTCTAATCCCATCACTCACCACGGGCAGAGGCCGTGAGTTCCAGACTGGCCAGTACTACAGTGAGACCCTGGTAAGAAAGAAAAAGAAAGGAGGGAAGGAAGACTAATGGGAGAGACTCAGAGATTTAAATGGGCAAATGAACAACAGTGTACATAAAAGTAAAGAAGCTTATCTCTCAAAATGATGAAAATGTTGCTTCCTCAAACTACATTCTTGGGCGAAAGTTTTTACCTTTAATTGATTACATTCCATTTTTAAACTTTGATGCTCAGTCTATTTTTAGCCCTAAAATGTGTTGTATTTTAGATTAAGCTGAGTGAAGTTGTTGGCTCCGGAAAAGATGGAAGAATACTTAAAGAAGATATTCTCAACTTTCTGGAAAAGCAGACGGGAGCCATATTGCCTCCCTCACCAAAAGCTGAAATAACACCACCTCCACCACAAGCCAAAGACAGGCCCTTTCCCACACCAGTATCAAAGCCTCCGGTGTTCACAGGCAAAGACAGGACAGAGCCCGTAACAGGTAATGGTGACAGCAGTGACAGGAAGCAGCGCTGATCTGTTTCCGGACAGCCACCTCGGGGGATGTGTGTTCGTTCGGAATGTTTCTAATGACTCTTTGAGCCAGGGTCTCACTGTGTAGCCCTGGAACTTAATATGTAGACCAGGCTGGCTTCTGACTCACAGAGATCAGCCTGTCTCTGCTGAAGGAGACCCCTGCATAGCAGTGGCTTCTGCCCTGACCCTGAGTTAGGTACAAACCACACACAAACACCTGTTTTCACAGAGATCCTTTATTAACCAGGGAAGAAAAGTTAAAGTGGCTGCTCTCTGACCCAGACGGAAAACAGCAGCGAATGACCTCGCAGGTGTAATTTTTGATAGGAGGAAAAGGGGAGGACAGTATTAGACTGGGCTAGGATGGGGTGGTATGTCTTGATTGGGTCTGTTAATTAGGAGAGCCAACGGGGGCTTGATTGCTGGACTTCAATACTTTAATAGCTGAACCTTGGTGATCAGACTCAGGTGGAGGAAGCAAGCAAGTAAGGGAACAGACTTTGGTGGCCAACTTTAGGAATGCAATGTTTTTTAGCAAGACAGAGGGAACTGGGGGGAAGGGCAAGGCCTGCCAGAGCCATATCCTAGTGGGCTGGTGTCCCTTCATCTGCCTCCCAAGTGCTGGGATTAAAGGTGTGCACCACCACTGCCCGGCTGTCAATTCTTACTAACAGAAAGTGCAAATCCATCGTGAAATTATAATGATGCAATCCCGGTTTTCTAATTTGTATAGAAAAACAACATATTATTAGATTTATATAAAAGGACTGGGTTTCTTCTAGGCTTCCAAAAAGCAATGGTCAAGACCATGTCTGCGGCTCTGAAGATTCCCCACTTTGGCTATTGTGATGAGGTTGACCTTACTGAGCTGGTTAAGCTTCGGGAAGAGTTGAAACCTGTTGCTTTGGCTCGGGGAATCAAACTCTCCTTCATGCCCTTCTTCTTAAAGGTGAGTTTCAACCCTTCCAAGCGAGGCCCCAGAGGACACTGCCGCTTGTTTCATAACGACAGAGTAGGTTAATAGGTTTGCTATACTTCAGACCGTGTCGTCAGACTTAGATAAATGATGCAAGGAGAGCAGGAGAATTCTGGGGAGGAGGAAGTTGATTCCTCCCACTCCTGCCCAGATCACTGAAGCAGCAGGATGTGAGCTGCCCCACTGAAAAAGGTACTGAGCTACATGGCTAACATAGATCAGAAAAATGGGTTAATCAAGATGTGAGAGTTAGCCAGTAAGAAGCCTGACCTAACAGGCCAGTCAGCATTATTATAACTTATAGAGATCTCTTGTGTGATTTTACTTTGGGACTAAACAACTGAGGGGACAGGGCAGGACAAGAACCCCAACACGCAGGCCCGGCCTCTTCATGTTACAATTGTCCAAACCAACCATCTCTTTGCTTCATAAGAATTTATACAGTTGAAATCTACATTGTGTTTTTATCTTATTACTTCCTTTTTCAAAGATTAATTTTATTTTATGTTCAAGTCACATCTATCTTTTACCACTGGGCTTTTACTTCTTCTTACTTTCCCTCTTATTCTATGTCTCGCTGTGTGCCTAGGTGGCTGGCCCCATCTTTTCTTGCTCCTCTTGCTCCTACATCTTCTCCCAGATTTTCCTCCTGTTTATTCTCTCTCTGCCTGCCAGCCTCGCCCATCCTTTCTCCCTCCTGCCTTGCTATTATAGAGCTGTTCAGGTGTTTTAGACAGGCAGCGTAACACAGCTTCACAGAATGAAACAAATGCAATATAAAAGAATGCAACACATCTTTTCATCACTAAACAAATGTTCCACAGCATAAACAAATGTAGCACATCTTAAACTAATATTCCACGAGAGTTTCCTAAGTCCTTAGTGTGGCATACAAGTTTCTGCTAGCTACCCCTCCTGTCTCCTCAAAACCACTCCCTGTTTTAATCACATACACATAAAACTATACACATAGTTGCTGGATTATACAGTTTTACCTGAAATATCGACCAGGTGTCTCTCCCTACCATTTCATTTTGTTTTATTTGTCATTTTTGAAACCGCATTTCAGTAGATAGCCCCGGCTGGCCTGGAATTTACAGTCCTGTCCCAGCCATCCAAGTGCTGGGATTACAGGCATGAGCCGTCTCACCTGACCTCCTTTTTCAATCCATGCATTGTCACTATCCAATCAATTCAGATGCAGACTCCAGACACCTCAGTGGCTCTCTAGCATATGGGCAGGAGAGAAATGTTGTAAAGAGATAGAAAGTGTAAAGAAAAGTAGGGGAGAGATTAAAGGGGACAGACAGGGATTTGTGCCCGCAGAGTGGGCTCCAGTACATATTTGAGGCAGCTCCGCCCTTGACCTGGCCAAGGACACCTGTGGCACACTGGCCTTTGAGGGTCACTTTGCAGTCATTGTGTATTCTTTCTACACAGAGAGGTGGCTTACCTGCCTTTTTGTGTTTGAATTCCTAGCTATCAGCTTGCTTCTCATAAAAATCTAAATCTACATGTAAGTGAGGAAATCACTTGGGATTGAGACATCTTCCTTGGTACTTTGGCAGCCTGCGTGGCTGTTTGGGAAATTCCTTTCATGTTGGCAAATGACCTGGCCACTTCACCATCTGTTTTTAATGATGCCGGCGACCTAGTTTCACCTTCACTGGAGACACGGGTGGGAGTGGTAAACCCAGGCGTGTGTGGCCATCTGTGGCCTTGAATTAAGAGTTCTCTTCCTGCTTCCCTTCTGCCCCCTATTGCTTCTAGTCCTCTCTGCCTGTGTGAGGCGAGAATGCTCATGTTGCATTACCTTTCTCTTCAACAGGCCGCTTCTCTGGGATTGCTACAGTTTCCTATCCTCAATGCCTCCGTGGACGAAAACTGCCAGAACATCACCTACAAGGTTGGCCATGCACTGTGAAAATCCCCGCTGTACTAGAAGATGGTGCTCGTGTGCTTGTAGGTTAGAGCCCTCTAGGATACTCAGCAACCCTTTTCCGGACAGGACCGGAAGGCATCGCATAAGCCCCTAAGCTAAAGTGCAGTTAGCGTTGTTTGTTTTCCCTGTTCAGGGGTGACTTAGTTCTGCTGCACAGCCTGTCCTTCTGATTCTCCATTAAAACAGAGGAACTGTATAAATGTGAGGTGTGGATTGGCTCACCCACTCTACTTAGCACCTCCAAAGAGACTCCTCTCTCAGGATTAAATTTCTGGAACTTAGGTAGTGTTTCCATTGCTGTGGAGAGACACCGTGACCGCAGAAACTCTTATAAAGGAAACCATTTAACTCAGGTGGCAGCTTATATTTTCAGAGGTGTAGTCCATTATCATCATGAGGAGCGTGGTGGCTGTGGTGGCTGGGAGTATGGTGGCATACAGGAAGGCATGGTGCTAGAGAATTCTACATCTTGGCTCACAGGCAGCAGGAAGTGGTCTGTGACACTGGTCAGTATCTTGAGCCCGCCTCCACTGTGACACCCTTCCTCCAACAAGACCACACCCACTCTAACAGGGCCACACCTCCTAATAGTGCCACTCATTTTGGGGGCCGCTTTCTTTCAAACCACCTCAAGAGCAATTTTTTTAAAGTACATTAGGTCGGAATATATTGCTGCATGAGGCCTGTGCTCATGAGTGCAGGTGCCTGCAGAGGTCAGGGGCATCGGTTCACTTGGAGCTGGAGTTACAGACTGTTGTGAGCCTTCTGTGGGTACTAAGAAGTTCATTTGGGTCCTCTGGAAGAGCAGCGAGTGCTCTTAACCACTAACCCAGCTCTCCAGCCCAAAAGACATTAAGTAATAATATATTTTTTAAAGTAATACATTTGAATCCAGTTTGAGCGAAGTCTTCTGTTTGGAGTGAAAGCTTCTTAAGACAGAATTCCTTTATTTATTTATTTATCTATCTATCTATCTATCTATCTATCTATTTATTTATTTATTTATTTATGATACCTGGAGGTTCAGCCATGGGTGCTGGGAACCGAATGCTTATATTTTTGGTTGTGAGCCTAGCTTTTAACAACTGAGCCATCCCTCCAGGTTATAGACAGAATTCTTGCAGTGTTGATTTCTATATTCATTCCTCATTAGCAATACTCAGCTAGCAGTGAGCTTAGGGCTGCAAGGAGGTGGCTGAGTGGCAGAGTGCTTACCCAGCATCAGCAAAACACAAAACAAAAGGTACACTTCGCTAATGCAAGCAGTCTGATCAAAGCTATTGTGGCATGCCTAATAATCTTTTCTAATATAGCTTATTTAAAAAACATAGAGAAAATAATGCTTGCCTTCAGTTCTATGGCCTCAGTTACTCCTTGCTCACACTGATATTCTTCCATGAATTAATTCATTTAAGTAATACAAACTTCTTTAATTTGCTTTTTTCTTTTCCATTTACTATATTGTGGATGTCATCACACATCAATAGATGTGATATTGTCATTTATTCAATCAGTGACCTACGGCAAATATTTTAGTTGTTAAAGAACCATCTGATGATGACTCCTGGTTAATTCCTTCATTCTTTTGTATATTTCCTTAGCACGGTTTTTTGTAAATATCATATGTCTCTTTATGGAGAGAACGTAAACCTGCCAAGTTGTTCTCTGACCTCTGTATGCATGTCATAATGTTTTATGTACATACACACACACGTATGCACAGAAATGTAATTTTAAAATTTAAAAAGAGGCTATTGTTTCTAGCTTTCAAGCTCGGTTAAATTACTCTTTTTTTAAAGTTTACATTTATTTTGTTGTGAGGAGGAAACTGGTACCACTGTACATGAGCGGAGGTCAGGGAACAACTTGCAAAAATTCCTCTCCCCTTTCACCCGGGTTCAGGAGTTTGAACTCAGGTTGGCAGCATGTGCCTTTACCCAGAATACGTCTCATCCCCGCAAACTATTTCTTCTCAATGACTTCTACTCTAGTGAATATGGTGACTGTTTTGTCTTCTTGGCCTTTTGGATTTTTGAGATGTGGTCTTGCCATATGGCACAAGCTGACTTTGGACTTTAAAATTTATTTATTTATTAATTATGTATACAGCATTCCTCTCGTGTATGCCTGAAGGCCAGAAGAGGGCACCAGACCTCATTACAGATGGTTGTGAGCCACCATATAGTTGCTGGGAATTGAACTCAGGACCTTTGGAAGAGCAGGCAATGCTTTTAACCTCTGAGCCATCTCTCCAGCCCCTGACTTTGGATTTTTGAGATGTGGTCTTGCTATATGGCACAAACTGGCTTCAAACCGTCCGTCTTTCTTCGTCAGCCTCCTGATGCTGGGATTGCAGCGCACTGCATGTCTCGCTTGGTGATACAGTCAGCATCTTTGTAGTAGAAGAGAGCAGAGTGTGTTCTTGTCATAAGCTTATGTAGTAAAAGTTCTACTGGGTCACTTTTACTTCGTAGGCGTCGCACAATATCGGGATAGCAATGGATACTGAGCTGGGGTTGATCGTCCCCAATGTGAAGAATGTTCAGGTTCGCTCTGTATTTGAGATTGCCTTGGAACTGAACCGCCTCCAGAAACTGGGCTCTTCGGGCCAGCTCAGCACCGCTGACCTTACCGGAGGGACATTTACTCTTTCCAACATTGGATCGGTAAGTCGTGGTGTTCAAATCCATGTGTAGCTTGCACTTCTGATCATATACTCAAATAAAATACCATCCATCATCTACCAGGCATTCCCTGAAAGCTAAATTTTCCCATTCTTCTCAGATTGGTGGGACCTATGCCAAGCCAGTGATATTGCCACCTGAAGTAGCCATTGGGGCCCTGGGAGCTATTAAGGTATGTATAGTGAGTAACTGTGAGACAGTGTGAGCAAGTTGGAAGACTGACCCTGAAGACTCAGCACTGAGAGTTTCCCTCTGCTGTTTAGTGTGAGTTTGTGAAGTTTGGCTCAGTATGCCTCTTTCTTCCCTGTTTGAGTTAGATCAGAGCTCACTGTACAGTTCCAGCTGGCTCAAATTCTGGGCCCTCCTGCCCCACTTGCCACCTACTGGGATTACAGGGGTGTGCCACCACACCTGGCAAAATGCTGATTTCTTGATCTTGAAGGCAACTGTATTTTGAACAAGAATCTAGGTGACTCCAAAAATTGATCTGTGGCCATGGTTCAGGACTTTTAGAATAGGGTTGTAGGGTTGTGACACTCACTCTCTCTGTATATGTGCATGAGTGCTCCGTACATGTAGGAGTGCCACACACTCACACACACTCAGGGGACAACTTCAGGAATCAGGTCTCTCCTACTCTGTGGGTTCTGAAGTTCAAATTCAGGTGGTAGACCTTGGCAGCAAGCGGATTTATTGGCAAGCCATCTTGCTGGGCCTATTAAATCTAATAATAAGTTACATTTTTGTACATTTCTTATTTATTAAGAGCAAAGGTTTTTGTTTTGTTTTTGTGTGATGTGTGTGTGATGTGTATGCATGTGTGTGTCTTGTGTGCTCAGAGGCTAAGGTGTGTGGGTGTCCCTCTTTATCACTCTTTGCTGAACCTGGAGCTTGGGTTTTTCAGCTAGGCTGGCAGTCAGCAAACCTTGGCAGCCCTTTTTTCCCCACCTGTTGTGTGCTGGCCCTTACAGGTGGGTAGGGACTCACCCGAGTCACTACCTAGTGCTGGCATCTCAAGTGTGGTCCACATGCTGAGCCGGCTCTGTGGCCCGGATAGCTGATTTCTAACGTGCATTTGTTTTGTTATTCTTTGCTTCTTGGTACCAAGGATGGAACTTTGTGCATGCTAGGCAGGCACACTGTCAGTGAGCTACTCCCAGAGCCCTAATGTTTGTTTTCTCAGAATAGCCTCTTATGGCTTGGGATTTCTGTTTTTACGATGGAGAAACCCTGCCTTTCATGACCTCTGTCAGTGACTGAAAGGGCCTTGGAGTTGGCATAGAATACACCCAGACACCAAATTCTCAACGCAAAAGAGATTTTATTACCCTGGAGGGACAACAGCCCCTGGGTCTGACAAAGGCAGACAGCAGGTATTTCTGCAGGAGTGGTTTTTAAGTAGAAAAGAAGTCCATGTTAGGGGAATTGCTAAGTCCTGGGTGGACATGCTAGCCGGTATAGCCAAATAATGAATTCTAGTTGCTAGATCTCGGTGTTTTGGTAGCTGGAACTTGGTGATCAGTGTCAGGAGTGAGTCGGTGGCCAAATAAGGGACTAGAAGTTGGTGGCTGGCTTAAGGGATGTAATCTAACAGTTTAGCAGGGGAGAGGGAAAGAGAGAAGACAAAACCTTCTGGTGTCATGTTTGCAGTGCCTGTTAGAGAACTCTGTAGCACAAATACTAAAAACCCAGAGACAGATATTAGGGTTCATCCTGAAGATCAGAAAAGCAAAGCAGCCAGCCACTAGAGAGCTCTTACCTCTATGAAATCTTCAGGCTGAAAAGACTAGTTCCTTTAATCCCTAGGACTGGGATTAAAGGTGTGCACCACCACTGCCTGACCGCTATGGCTAACTAGTGTGGCTGCTGGGAATAAAGGTATATGCCACCATTGTCTGACCTGTATGACTGACTAATGTGACAGTTTTGCATTCTGATCTTCAGGTAAGCTTTACTTATTAAAATACAAATGAAATATTCCTACAGAGCCCTTCAGTGACCATGTCTCCTACCTTTGCCCTGACCCTGTTGTCTGAGGTTTCTGTCCTGCCCTGTTCCCTCAATCGTTAAGTCCCAAAGAAATCACACAGAGGTCTACATTAGTTATAAACTGATTGGCCTAGTATCTCAGGCTTCTTATTAACTCTTACAACTTATATTAGCCCATTGTTCTTATCTGTGTTAGCCACATGGCTCAGTACCTTTTCCAGCGAGGCAGTCACATCTTGCTTCTTCTGTAGCTGGGCCAGGACTGCCAAAGGAACTTCCTTCTTCCCAGAATTCTCCTGTTCTCATTGACTCGCCTCTACTTCCTGTCTGGTTGTCCCGCCTCTACTTCCTGCCTGGCTACTGACCAATCAACATTTTATTTAAAATATAATTGACAGAATACAGACAGTTGTCCCACACCATGACCCTCAGAAGTTGTCAGACTGATTTTCTGTTCCCATCAAGCCCCAGCTCCTTGACCAGTGTTCATGTGCCTTTCTTCCTTGACCAGTATCCATGTGCCTTCCTTCCTTGCTGCCTTCAGTGAAGAGTATTTTCCTTATCTCAGTTGTCTTTTTTTAAGAGTCTGTAAGATGACTTAGCATGTGGTGATTAATACATTAACCATTTGACATCTGGATGAAATTTAATGTAAATATTATATATGGGACAGGAGATACTTTGAAGAAGTTAAGGCTTCGGACATGACCCCCCCAAGAGTAGGGGAAATAGGAGCAGCATTTTCAGAAGCCCTGGTGGATGCCCACTCATTGGCAGAGAGTTTCTGGACCTTATGCCATTCTTGGCAGATCTTCCTTTCACTCTGAGAAAGGAAAAGTTTACCCTTGTTTATTTTTGTTTTTTCCATTATTTCTAGGCTCTTCCCCGATTTGACCAGAAAGGAGAAGTTTATAAAGCACAAATGATGAATGTGAGCTGGTCAGCTGATCACAGAATCATTGACGGAGCCACAATGTCACGCTTCTCTAATCTGTGGAAATCCTACCTGGAAAACCCAGCATTTATGCTGCTAGATCTGAAATAATGTTACATACAACAGCCTTGAACTTACGCATTTCCAAAGAGTTCGTGAAGCTGTTATATGCCTCACGTATTCCTGTTACAGTTGCATTAGAAGTGATCTGAGTTACCTGCTTAAGGCTCTAAGGCACAGTATCTATGACTGTCATGTTAGGCTCTTTGCTGAAAATGAATGATGGCGTCATGATTCTCCTGGGGTATCACACTGTGTAGGTCAGAAGGTGACTTCCCAATATGGTGCTGAGATCTTTGTGTCAATGAGTTGAAACAGGCAACAAAGCAAAATTAATGTTACTAAAAGGCAAGTTGCAATATATGTGTGGCATTTGCCATGTTTCTTTTTTAATTTTTTAACTGACTTTTAGTGAAACTTTAAAATTACACTTCACTGGGGAAAGGAACCAGTGTTTTCCATTTCCCTACAATCATGGTAACTGTTCTGCAAAATAAGTGCAATTCTGCTTATCTTTCCAGAGGAGGAGGTGTATCCTCTGCCCTTGTGTACAAAGTATCACCTGTAAATGTCTGATAGCTGACATTAGCATTATTTAAAGGGGGGAAGTTACAATGTGGTCTGAACTATAGTTTACAGCCCCTAAGGCTGTCCCAGTGGGTAGACTTCTAGAGCTGCAGCGATGCTTTGCCATTTTGCTGGGGAAATACTTGACTTTTCACACTCACTTTGTGACATAAAATGCCATAAATGCAGCAGCTGTTGGCTTGGATTTTTTTTTTTATGCTTAGGAATTTGTTGACTTTTAATTTTATTGATCGTCAGCTAAAAGAAAGGGATGCAGGATCTGTTCTCTCCTCCTGATCCTCTGTAGGAGCGAGATCAAGTAAAGGGTCAAACGGGAAACTGTGGACATAAAATTAGTTTATACAGAAACACAGCTAATGGTCATCTTGATAAACGTCCATCTTAATCAGATAGCATGAGGGTCAATCTAATTCAAGGCTGGGCACGCCTTTATTTCTAGCACTTGAGAAGCAGAGACAAGTGGATCTCTGTGAGTTTGAGACTAGCCTGGTCTACATAGTGAGTTCCCGGACAGCCAGGGACACATAAAGAGACTCTGTTTTGTTTTGTTTGTTTGTTTTGTTTTTTTAATCAAATTTAAAATTTTGAAATCTAGTTTTTTTCTAATATTATTGAATTAAATATATTATAACAAAATTACTTGTTTAATTGAAGTTTCATGATAGGAGATAAAAGGTCATTTTTAATGCCTCCTTGATTTTTTTCCAAAATTGAAATACTTTATAAATCAAGTAAATGCTGTTTATTTGAAAAGTCACATTATGAAATCATTGTTTTTACATAAAGAAAATTAACAGAAAAAAAATCAATTCAGAGCCAGGCTTTGTGTCATAGGCCTGTAGTCCCTGCTGTTGGGAGGCTGAGGCAGGAGGCTCCTGAGCTCACGGCCATGCGAGGCTGCTTAGCGAGACTCCTCTGGAGAAAAGGGAAAACCACAGATAGCATGGGGAGTAACAAACTCTATCTAGAATCTTAGCACTGTCAACCTTATAATGTATGTATCTGTATACACAGGGATTCTTTTATAAAATGAGATAATGTATCTACTATTTTATAATTTGATTTTTTAAAATTTATCATATTATGGACACCTTTATATGTCAATAAACAGTTCTACATTATCATACTTTGTGTAATTTCACTGTGCATGTTATTTTTTACTATTTATTTAATATTGGGAGCATGCATATGTGGAGGTCAGAGAACAGCTTGTAGGAATCCGTTCTCCTCTGCTGCAGTTTTGGTGCTCGGGTGGCTGTTTTTCCGTTGATTGACTTTTGTGTTTTGTGTGTATATCATTGCATCTGTTTATTATACATTCATATACTTAACATTGAGCTGAGATTCCTAACACAACCATAATCCAGGCATTTGCTGGCCTGAGGTAGGATTGTGTGTTCCAGGTTAGCTGGGCTACATAGTAAGACCCAGTCCCGACTACCCCCAATTAAATACCTACTATAGTTTTAGTGTGGAGCCAACCATTGTTCATATAATGCACGCCTCCTTGTCTCTGCCATGATTACACTTAGAGTCTAATGATGTTGACAGATATTAAATAGCCAGAAAAGTGTATACAATTACACCACCATGATGGAAAAACAACAAGCAAGTAGGTGCTATGAGCCATGTAAAAGAAGCTGTCCGTGTTGGGGAAGAGTCTGAAGACGGTCATCCCATCGTTAAACTCACTCCCCATCCCGGCAGTGCTGTGGGGAAGACAAGCTTGCAGCACCCTCACCTAAAGATCCAGTGTGATTGACTCAAGATGTTTCCTACATTACCCGAATAAACTTGGAGCAGTCCCACCCCAACACCCCGCTGTTAATACCTTGTCTTGTTTGTCTTCCTTTAAGAACGGCGAAAAATTCATTTCCTTTGTGTGCAGGGCCTCGGGGAGAGCACATGTCCTTGTACGAAATCGGGGAGCCCAGAGCATGGGTTCAGCAGCACGGTTGAGCTATGGGGTTGAGCCATAGCGGCAGAGCCAGGCTAGGGCTAGGGTGGACACTCTGGGGCAGGGTCTGGGTGAACAGAGCCCTTGCTGCACTCCTAGAGTTGACATTAAAGCACTGAAACCAGAAAGGTCAAGTTCTTCATCAACTCGGAAGTAATTGAGGTCACGTGGGGCATACACATCCAGTGGGAGGGGCCCACGAGAAAGGCAAGGCTCACTGTGCAGAGGGCTCACTCTGCGGAACACTCTGACCTTTGCTGTAGAAGAAAGTGTGACAGGCTCCAGCCAGGATGGGTGTGAATGTTCGAATGTTCATCACAGAGCCCCCAAAGCAACTTACATCAGAACTCATGTAAACTGTGCTTGTGTCAAAAAAGCACGGGGACCATTTGTCTGGGAAGCCTGCTGGCCTGTTTTGGCTCTTTGCTTTGTATATTCCAAGGTCACTTTATAGATTTCCTTGCTGACTGCTAAGTGTCCTCTGTCAGAAGGTGATGGCGTTCGGCACTGCCCCTACACTGCCAGGAACACAGACAGACCTTTCCTGGATGTTGGGTTGGAGAGGCACAGCCTCCTGGGCTATGAAGGTTTGTAGGCAGCCTGGGTGTGTCACACATGTGTGGTGGCAGGAGCATTGGCAGCTACTGCTGGGAGGCAGTGAGAAGATTGGCTTTTCAGAGCATAGTCTCCTGGAATGTCCTGTGCCTGGAGACCATTCCTGTGCCATCTCCACAGGCTAGGGCAGTCTTCTAAACCTAGTTGAGGCCCCTGAGGGAGATGTGTCACCTCCGTGCTAGTATTTTCTCATACATAATATCAGTTAGTTCGTTCTGTGCACGGGCATTGTCGGGCCTCTCTGCAAAGGTACCTGGACCAAACCAGCAGCTGCAGCGGAGTCACTTAGGTCCTCTGTAATGATCATGCGCACAGGAGACCTTGGCGGGTGAGAGCCAGAGGCCTCTCGGCAGGCAAGAGACAAATAAGACATGCAAGCAAAGCTTAGGTGAGGAGTTCATTGGGGAAAGGGGGAGGAAAGAGAGAGAGAGGCAGAGACCTGCTTGCCTCTTCAGAAGAACATCAAGAAGAAAGCCGGAATGGGCGGAGCCTGTCTCTTAAAGGGACCTTCTGCGCTTGCCTTCAGACTATGCCATGGCCAGTGGTGTAGCAGTCATAGGACCCTGGGCTGGCCAGGGTGGAAAAACCTGGTGCAAGTGAGCACAAAACACACAACAAACCCGCTTAGGAGTTTATGAGAGAAGACGTGTACAGGTCGGGCAAAGTCCGTGTGCAAAAAGACAGGGCTGAAGGTGGCGGGTCCAGCTTTTAAAGGCTGCCTAGCGCATGCGCACAGAGGGATGACAGGGTACATTACACGCAGATGATGGAGCTCACGCATGCACAAGGGCTTATGTAGGTGATGCAACCATGCTGCTCGTGGGTCACGCAGGGCCTTTTAAGGCTAGGTATTTTTGCCTGAAGACTTGTCCACACATGCGTGGCCCTGGAACCCAGAAGTGCCAGCCATGCCGGTTGGCTAAAATCATAACACAGGGTACTTACTGCCTGTGTGCATCCTGCCAAGTGACAGGGGCCAGCATAATGCCTGGATCTTAACATCCTCGGTATGTGTTGTTTCCCTTTGGCTAAAACCACACTGAGCTGTCTCCAAATTGTCTCCAAGCATTTAATGAAGAAACATCTGGCAAAGGCCTGGAAATGCACAGCTGATTTCCATGGCAAAGACAGCTGTGCCACATCAGTTAGTAGGAGCACTTTCTGTGTTGTCTTGTGGACACACATGGACACACAAATTGGTTCCTGTGTTGTCCTATGGACACACATAGAAACACAAATTAGAAGAGATAGGAGCCTGTTCCATAGAATAAATTCTGAGTGGACCCTGAGACAGAACAATCTTCTAGATTGAGTACTAGATCCCAAGTTACCAGAGATCCACTTCAACCAACTCACAATTGATACCCTATAATATTCCTAAAATCCTGGCGTGCCCCCTCAACGGCCTGCCCAAGATCCCCAGGCGGCGGGCTCGTAGAGCAGCCATGAGCCTGGCAGAGACTGCAGCCAGAGCGGTGCAGATTCCCAAGAGCGGCTCATGCTGGGCAGGCTGGTCCTGCCATGCAGATAAAAGGCTTACAAGACATAGTAAATAGACATAAAGCTGAACATTTATTACTTAAAGAAGAGAGAGAGACAGAGAGACAGAGAGGAGACATGTGTGCACACGCCAAGAGAGAGAACAGAAAAAGATTTAAGATGGTGACGAGAGGTCAGAGGTCGCTGGGAGTGGGCGTGTCTTGTCCCTTAAAGGGACCAGAGACCAAAGGAATAACACCCTATAAAAATGCTATGTACCTACCTGCACTATTTGTAATAGCCAGAACATGGAAACAACCTAGGTGCCCCTCAATAGAAGAATGGTTAAAAAAGGTGTGGAACATATATACATTAGAGTTTTACTCGGCGGTAAAAAACAATGACATCTTGAATTTTGCATGCAAATGGATGGAAATAGAAAACGCTTTACTGAGTGAAGTAAGCCAGACCCAAAAAGAGGAACACGGTATGTATTCACTCATAAGTGAATTCTAACCATAATTAAAGGTCTTTGAGCCTATTATTCGTGATCCTAGAGAAGCTAAATAAGAAGATGAACCTGATGAAGATTATTTAGCTATCCACCAGGAGATCCTTCATCTGGCGAAGGACGGCTATGCAGTCGGAGGCCCACATTGGAGCACCGGACTGAGCCCCCCGAGGTCCGGAGGGGGAGCGGAAGGAGGAGGAACATGAAAGACGAAATCAGTACTGCGAGGGATGCTATCACCCACTGATACAAGGGAACGGATCTGATGAGAGTTTACCAGGGCCAGTCGGACTGGGATTGAACGAGGACGTGATCTAGCCAGATTCTCGGAATTTGG